ACTGTCAGAGCTGGGAGGGAGCCTTGGAACATGGACTGTCAGAGCTGAGAAGGGCCTCAGAACCTAGGACATAGAGTCAGAGCTGGGAAGGGACCTTAGAACGTGCGATGTCAAACCTGAGAGGGGCCTCAGAACCTAGGATGCAGAGGATCAGAGATGGGAAGGACCTTCATGGAATGTCAGAACTGGGAAGGGGCCTCAGAACCTAGGATACAGAGTCTTAGCTGGGAAGGGGCCTTAGGACCTAAGACACAGAGAGTCAGACCTGGGAGGGGTTTCAGAACACAGAAGGTTAGAGCTGGGAGCAATCTTAGAACGTGGAATGTCAGAGCAGGGAGGAGTCTTAGAACATAGAATTTTAGAGCTGGGAGGGACCTTGGAACATGGAATGTCAGAGCTGGGCTGGGAGGGGACCTGTCTAGACAATGGACACGTTTTCAGATCTTGAAGTGTCTGAGCAGGGAAGATTTTAGAATATGAATCTTGGAGGTTGAAGGGCCTTTGGAACATTGACTGCTCTCTGAACTTGGCACCATCGGGAGAACCCTGGAACCTTTGCACTTGGCTGTCCCTCCTGCCTAGTGTACTGTCCCTCCTCCTGTCAACTCAGGCCTTGTGCCACCTCCAACAGGAAGGCCTCAGCATTGACCATGCTTGGCTTCTGATCTGTGGGCACAAGGCCTTGCCCCCAGGGCCTGGCACAGAGAATGTCCTTAAAAGCTCGTGATGGACTGATCAGACCCGATCCTAATGCTCACTTGGACTGGAAGCTGCCAGATTAACCAAGCCACAATTTATGAAGCAGACTTGGTGCCCGGGCCTTGGAGAAAGAGACCAGACAGAACAGCGTCCTGCCCTTGAGGCCCTGCCCTTGAGGCCCTTACCGTCTGCTGGGGACAGCTCCCGGGGGGCTGCATTCATTCCTTGGGGGAAGGGGAGGGGGAGGGAGGCAGGGCCTGTGAATCTCTCCCGAGGACAACGCTACAAACTTGCTCTGGGGAGTCTGTCCTTTCCAGCCCTAACGGGTTGCCCAGAGCACTGTGTCCCCCAAGCTAGAATATGCCAGGACTGAGGCAGGATTGGAACCCAGGTCTTTTGGACATCAAGGGCAGCCACTTAATAGGGCAGTTACTGTGAAATAATAAGCAAATCCGGTTTCTAGAGCACTTTCTGGCTTGTAAGGACTCGAGGAAGAAAGGCAGGCTCAGGGTTACTCTCCGCCCAGAGCTGTCCTGTGTCCCTCTCCTCTGCTCCCCCGGCCCTGGCATCCTAGGACCCCGCCTGGTGGCCGTCGGTTGGGTGTCAGGATCTGACCGTCTCTGGGCCCTTCCCCTTTCCCAGCATCTCCTTCGGGTGGCTTACCAGGATCCCGTCAACGGCTGCACCTCCAAGACCTTGGCCCTGCCCCCGGGCTCCTCCGCGGCCACCCTGTGCCTGCTGTGTGCCACCAAGTTCCGGGTGTCGAGGCCCGAAGCCTTCGCCCTCTTCCTGCATGATGAGAAGGGCTGCCGCCGCCTGGCCCCCGACACCCTGCCCCATGACCTCTCGGGCCCTGGCTACCTCATCTACCGGCAGGTGGAGGGAGCCCTGAAGGCCGAGATCCGTGGACCCAGCGCTGCAGAGGAGGTTCCTGGGGCACAGGGGGCAGCAGCGGGGCTAAAGCTGGAGAGCCAGAGCCCGGAGGGAGGAGGAGGGAGGGCGGGGGAGACGGAGGCAGGAGAGGGCAGAGGGGCAGGAGGAGGTGAGACGGAAGTGGGCAGAGGCCAAGGGGTACCCAGGGTCCGTGAGGAGTGACCGTCCGTGCCCGCGCTGGCACGTCCCCCTCTGCACTCACAACCGCTCTTTACACCCAATTTTGGGGGAGGAGATTGCCTTGGGGGGGCAGGGGTAGCCAGGCCTGGAGAGTTGAGACTGCTGCTGCTGAATGAATAAAGCATTTATTGAGCACTTACTGTGTGTGGAACTCAGACAATACTAAGAGAAAAGTCAGATAGCGCCTGCCCTCAGGGAGCTTCCCTTCTAGGGAAAGTCTTCACTGCCAACCAATCACATGGAAGAGTCGGAGGCAGTTGGTGGGGATGGCTGAGCTCTCCTCCACGGACCCCCACCCCAGAGGATGGCTCTGAGGACTGGGTGGTCTAGGGGTCGCTGCTGCTCCCAGGCTCCAGGGCTCAGGGTCCCAGGCAGTTCCCACTGGGGCTCAAAGGGAGATGGTCAAGGTCTGGGTGTTTGATTGGCCCAGCATGAGCCGGAACCTGAAATTTCTGAGCACAGCTCCTCCTGCCCATGGGTCCCAGCCATGCCCCCCTGCTGGGTCCAGGATGTGCAGAGGAAGCAGGGCCCAGCGTCCTCTCTGAGGCCTAGTGACTGCCTGGGCAGGCTTAGGAGTGGGGAGGGGGCTCCCGGCTCTAGCCATCCCTACCAAGAGGCCCTGCAGAATCACAGGCTGAGCTGCCTCCGAGCCCCCTGGAACCCACCCCCAGAGCTCCACGGCTGGAGAGGGTTAATTCTTTCTCCAGCCTCCGGTCCACGGGGGAGGAAGCCTGACCTCAGCAGTCGAGGATGGAGCTGGAAAGTTAGCCAAGGCTCGCCTTCGGAGTATCTTGTTTCATCCCTGGTCACTCCCTCCCTCCTGCCCCGCTCTGTATGCCTTCCTCTCAGTCCCCTCTCAGGGCCTAGGACGGTGCTGGCCGCTCACGGGACAAAATCAGTATTGCTGACAAATGCGTGTCGTGTCTGGAGGAGAGGGCTACGGCCAGGGGTGACCTCAGCTGTTAGACCACGCGGGCCCCTTAGAGAGCAAGGTGAAGGAAGGAAGGACCAGAGTGGGGGAGGGGCTTCTCCAAGGTTGCCCAGCTGGGAGTAGAGCCCAGACCTCAGGTCCCAGGCCATCACACCCAGTCCAGGACTTTTCCCGATAGCCACTGGCTGGAGGCCAGGCTGCAGAAATTATAGGAGTAGCGAGAGTCCTGTGGCAGGAACTGTGCTGTACCCAGATGAGAAGACCTGCAGATTCTGGGTTCAGATCCAGCCGAGTGGCTTTGGGCAGATAGCTCAGGCTTTCCGAGCCTCAGTTTTCTCCTTTGTAAAATGAGGCTGATGATGTCAGTGTTATCTACCAGGCAGGGGACTGTGAGAATTTAAAGACGGAACACAGCCTTAAAGCACTGTAGAAATACCTTAACTGTCCCATTTAATAGATGAGGAAACTGAGGTGCAGAGAGGAGGGACCCCTACAAGTCTCCCAGTTCAAGCAATCAGAGCCAGGCTGGGGGTCATCCAGTCTCCTCGAGACCTCCTGGGGCTGGGGAGCTCACTACCTCTCAGACACAAGCCCTCTGGGTTTTGGACAGCTCTGATCGTGAGAAAGTCTCTCCTTAACCAGGGCACAGGCCTGACTCTCATCAGCCTCCCCCCATTGTCTGTCCACTGCGAGGTCTCACAGTCGCCTGAGCCCCTGCTCTCACCCTAGTGCCACCCACTTTGGTTCTGTGGCTGTGGGGGTCACTCCGGCTAGGCCCCGGCATGGGGGGGGCAGCTGTGAGCTCGCCTCTCTGGCCTCCAAGGTGTAACTTGTTGGCCACCTGGATCCTAGCTCCGTCGGACCCTTAGAAGCCCCATGACTCAACCATAGCCCCCCGGGGTAGTGACCTCTCTCCTCCCCGCAGTGACCCTCTCCACTTCTTCCCCCCATAGTGACCTTCTCCCCCCTTACCTCCCCAGTGACCCTCTCTCCCTCCTTCTCAGTGCGCTGCACTGAGCCCTCCTTCTCACTTTGTGCCACCAGGGGGCAATCCTGTCCCGTTCTCTGGGCTTTGGAAAAGAAGGAAGGATGGGGAGGGGGACATTATGCTTTAGCAGCTTCTGCGCTGGGAGATCCGCCTGGGGAAGCAGGGGGTCTGGGGAGGCTGAAGGGGGGGAGGGCTGTGTAAAGGATCGTCACTTTGCAATCTGAAACAGTGCTTAGAGACCATCCAGGCCTACGTCTTCACTTCACAGATGGGGAAACTGAGGCCCAGGGGATCCTGGGCTGGGGGCGGGAGGCAGGAGGATGCATCAGGGATTTAGAGTTGTTCTGGATCGCAGAGGAAACCGAGGCCCGGAGAGGGTCAGGGTCCTGGCCCAGGTCCCAAGTGGGGAAGTCGCCAAGACCCCTCCCCCACTGCATCTCGAGGGCCTTAGCCAAGGTCTCTGAGCCAGGATTTGAACCCGTCTTCCCCCCACCGGGGCTCCTTCTGAGCACTGCGCTCCCTCTCCCAGGGCTCCCTCTCGGGGGGGATCGGCTCTGCTCCCCAGGGGAGCTGGGCCCCTGGAAGTAAACACAGCTGCTTGTGGGCCACTGGGCCCCCGGGGCCAGGAGAGGTGGAAGGGGCAGGGCCCTGGGGAGCTCCTCAAGCCCCAGCCAGGCTCTGGGACCAGCCATTCCTGCTGCCTCTCTGCCCGCCCCGGGATACTTCCTGCCTTCTGCGATCCGGGCCTGGGAAAGGTTGGGGCTGCCTCCGCCTTCCCTGGCTCTTCCCGGGTCCGGGGCTCTGGGCCCGCACCCACCTCCTTCCAGGACCAACTTAGATGCCTCCCCCTCAGGGAAGGAGCCTTGGCCGCTCCCTCCCAACCTCCTCGGCCAGGTGAAAGTGCTCGCCCCTCCTCTGCGCTGATCTCCCCTCCCTCATATTGGGGTGTGTTTGAGGATTGTAGATTCAGAGCTGGAAGTCGCCTTCCAGACAGAGGGGGACACTGAAGCCCAGGGAGATCAATCGAGGCCAGAAGGGGCTTCAGCGGTCATCGGGTCAAGCCCTTTTGTTTCACAGATGAAGAATCGGAGACCTGTAAAGCTTCGGTGACTTGTTCAAGGTCATAAGAATGATCCTGCCCCCTCCTTAGATTGTAAACTCCTTGAGGGCAGGGCCTACGGTCTTATCTATCTTGTATCCCAAGAGAGATTGAGTGACTTGCTTGCCCCGGTCACACAGCTAATAAGTCTCTGAAACACGGGGCCTTTGCATACAGTAGGTGATTAACATATGTGTGAATGAGTGAAGGAATGCTGAGGGTCTGGTCAGGTAGATGAAATACACAGGGAAGCGAAGGATGTAGAGGAAAGAGCCCTGGCCTGGAAGTGACTAAGATGGCCGCTAGAGGGTGCCACGGTACCCAGCGTGCTGGGCCTGGAGGCAGGAAGACGAGTTCAAATCCAGCCTCAGACACTTACTAGCTGTGTGACCCTGGGCAAGTCACTTATCCTCTTTATCTGTAAAATGGGGATAATAGAGCAACTATCTGCCAGGATTGTTGTGAGGATCAAGTGAAATAAGATCGTATCTGTACAGCCCAGCGCCTGGCATACAGTAAGTGCTTAGTTAATGCCTGTTCTCTTTCCACCCCATCCCCCCTTCCAATGATACCAGAGATGCCATTTCTCTCTGGGCCTCAGTGTCCTCCCCAGCACTTGAAGGAGCAGGACGAGGGGACTCCAAGGGCCCTCCCAGCCTGATTCTCAGCCTCACACAGTCCCCGTACTGGGAAACATCGCTGCCCACAAGGCACCCACAGATACCACAGAGGCCTGGGGTGGTCTCAGGAACAATGGGTAAGACAACAGAGCCAGATGAGGGTAAGGCCCCCAGAAGGGCCACCCTCCCTGTCCAGGCCCCTCCCCTGAACCTGGGCTCTCAGCCCCTGCCCCTGCCTACAGAGGCTGGGGAAGGGGGCGGCGTCTCCTCCAGCTGTTGAGCAAATCCAGATGCACCAGAGACCTAGATGGCCAAAGGAAGGGGGGAGGGCCAGAGGGCAGAGAATTCTCCTGGCCCTTCTCCTGTGAAGCGCTGGGGTCTGGGGGAGTGGGGGTGGGCGGGGTAGAGCTTCGTCCTGCTGCGGTGGGGTTCCCGGGTGCAGGAGTGGGGAGCTGGGACCCCTTGGCAGGGCCAGGAAGGAGGCCAGGCAGCCCTGGGTGCGGTGGCCTGAACTCATCAGATTCCAGCCCTAGTGACTCATGGGGTGAACGCCTGGAGGTGGGGGATGATGGAGGAGAGATGATGGAAGGGGGAGACGATGGAGGGGCCAGAGAGGTGTGAGGTTGGGGGCAAAATGGGAGAGAGAGCTTGGGACCGAGCAGGGGAGGCTTCTTGGAGGAAGAGGCATTTGAGTTGGACTTTGCCACACAGGTAGATACCAAACAGGTGGAAAGAGACAACATTCCAGGAAAAGCCCAGAGGGGGAAAGGAAGGCGTGGAGGATGGTAACTAACACTAGGTCAGGCATGCCAAATTGGAGGGGGGCTTCGAATGCCAGGCGAGAGAATTTGAATGTGAGTAGGAAATGGGGCACAACTGAAGACGTCTGATCAGAGAAGAGGCACGAGCAGAGCCCGCACAAGGCCTGGTCGTTCTGGCCAAGAGAGGCGGATGGACGCCCCAGAGCTCAGAACCAAAGTTCTCTGTTGGTGACATCCAGATTCCGGCTTGAAGGTTTCTTAATAATCCCACTCTCTGCCTCCTGCCCCCATCCTGGAAACAGAAGAGCTGGCTCGTGTTTTCTCTCCACCCCCGGGAATATCAGAATTTAGCTTGTCTCTAAAACAACTCGGGCTAACAGGACATCAAGTATGCGACGAGACTTATTTAAACTAACCGTCAATGAAAGAACTCAGCCCAAGCCGTAAGCAGTCAGGAAAACTGGGTCCTCTTGGGAGTTCTCCCCTCCTCAGGGGTCTCCACATTCTTTGTGACTTAGAATCCTGCCCTGGGTGCACAAAGGGTAAGAAGTGGAGGTTCCGGGGAGTCAGGAGACCCCCAACCCTTCCAGGGAGCCAACCAGGGACCTTCCCAGCCACTGAAACAAATCCTGGCAATTTCTGATGCTGACCCTGGGCTGGAAGCATTGTTCTTCCCAGGGCTCTTGGAATCAGGGGCCTGGGCTGTCTCTGTCAGGGTCTGAGAGGAGGTGAAGCACAAGGTGATGGTGGTTTGACTATGCTGACTCACCTGCCCTGTGGGAGGCAGTCAGTAGGGATGGCCAGCCCCCTGCCTGCAGCAGCCGCTTCTCCAGACAATGGCTCTAAAGGCTGGGCTGACCAATGACCTGGAGGGTCAGCCACTCCCAGGACTCTGTGCTTATTTGATCATTGGTCGTAATTAGGCAGTAGTTGCTGGTGGTGATAAGGAAGGTCGACCCTTCTCCCCAATGATTTCTCCCCCTTGGCCAATGATGGCCGGGAAAGGGGATGGGGGGAGGATGGGCGATACTGTGACTTCCAAGGCTCTTGGGTTCATGCCTGTCTGTCTTTATTGGGGCCTGAGAGGAGATGATGTTGGTATGACCTGCTTGGCATGGGCTGCCTCCTGCCTCATCTTTAGTATGCCTTTTTGCTCTGGGTTGGCTGCATTGGATGAAAGAACAGAGATTTTTAGTCTGGAGAAAAGAAGACTTGGGAGTGGGAGGAGGTGTTCAAATATATCCAGGCTTCCAAAGAAGCTGGGGGCATCATGTACGCTTCTGTGTACGCAGAAGAAGACGTGACTGGCTTGGGGGAGAGAAGCCGAATTGACATTGGCTGCCTGTGTAAGTGACAGTGTGGGAGCAGAGCATCTTGGAGGCTTCCAGAAATACATGGGGAAAGAGAGGGAAAACTTTGGGAAGGATGGCCAGCCTCTCGGAGGTTCCTGAGAGGACGGAGTGAATCGGGGGCCTCCTTGGGCCTTGGTTTGAGCTTCAGCCGTGAAGCAGCTCTGACTGCTGTTGGCCGTTTGCTTAGATTCAGGCGTTTACATGGCATCTGCTATTTGTGAAGGTCTTTCTGCGTAGCAGATATTTGGTGAGAAGGGGAGAAGCTGAGATGTATAACAGAAGAGCTACCTTGCTCCTCACCGGCACCAAGAAAGTTGCTTTTGTCCTGAACCTCTTTTATCGGCAATATCTGAGGGAGGAAAGATACAAATCCAGCCCAATATTCTTCTTGAACATGGATGATTCAAGGAGCAATGCCCAGCCCCTGCCCTTTTTCTATTCCTCTCAAGGTAGAAAATCTGTGTCCCATGAGTCAGATTCCAGAGGCCTCCATCCATACCACTCCCGAGCATTTCTTAACCAGCAGGACTATACAAAAAGAGGGATGGGGCTGCCTCTGGAGATGGTGAGGTCCTCCTTATTGCAAGTCTCCAAGCACTGCTTCGGGATGTCATAAAGAATTGGATCAGATGACCACTGAGTTCCCTTCCAACTCTTTAATCCTGTAATTCTGCAGCTCTCTATTTTTTCAGCACAGTGCCTGACTGGAAGAGTATTCAGGAAGACTACTGCAACAGTCCAAGACGGTGGATTGTGTCAATGAGCATAGGGAGGAGAGGAGGAGAGGGGTATGAGAGCTATCCAGAGGTGAAATAGACCAGCCTGGTAACTGACCAGACAGGAAGGGTGGAGGAGGAGGAGGAGGAGGAGGCATTGACAGAGGGGTCTCCTTTGTCTCTTAGAAGAATCCTTCAAAGGTTAGCTCAGATGCCACCTTCTACACCAAAGCCCATCAGTGACTCCCCTAGTTGTGAGTTAGCCCCTCCCCCAGAATAACGTTTTCTTTGTCTCATCGGTGCCCACAAATTTAAGAATCATCTCCATGCTGATGACTCCCAAATTTATACGTTCATTCCCCCTATACATCACCAACTACCTAGTGGTCATCTGGAAGCAGATGTCCTAGAGAGATCTCCAACTCAACATGTCCAAAACAGGACTCATAATGGAACCACCCTATTTCTAGGAAGGGCACCCCCATCCTTCCGGTCTCTTGGGTCCACCACTCTCATGTTACACTCAGCTCGGCTCTCTCACTCACCCTGCCTGTCTCGCTCACCCCTCATGTTCAATCAGTGGTCAGATCTTGCAGTTTCTATCTCTTTGGCATTTTCCACTCCCATGCTCCTCCTCAACACATACATGGCCGCATCATTGCCTCTCAACTACACCATTGCCACAGCCTCCTAATTGGTTTCCTCTCTCCCATCCCTCCACCAGCCAGCTGTGAAAGTGATTTTCCTGATCCTAATGCCTCCATAATCTTTTCTGTTTGGTCTGTAAAGCATTTCACAGCTTGTCTCCAATCTACCTTTCTAACCGTAACATAACTCCCCTTGCCACCCTCCAGGGTCCATTCAAACTGCCCTCCCTGCTCGTCCACACACTCATCATTCTGTCTCCTATCTTCCCATCCCTAGAACACACTCCCACCTCCGTTCTGGCTCAGAGAATCCCTGGTTTTCTTCAAACCTATGCTTACATAGCCCCTCCTACAGGAATCCTTTCCAGATCCCCTCCCAGTCAACCCCAGCTGCCACTGGCTCCTCCCACCTCCTCATTATCTTGTATTTATTTTGGGTCTTCTCATTAATGTGCATGTTGCCTCTCCTGATTGACTGGAAGCTCCTTGAGAGCAGTACGGATTATTTCAACCTCTGCACACTGCCTGGAACGTAGTACCGTATGCACTTAATGCATGTTATTGAATTAAAGGACAGCCCAAGCTCCTCAATGTTGAACAGAGGATGCTGGGTGAATGGGGTATACCGTGGATGGAAAGCAAGGAGGAGGATCAATGAGCTCAGCTTTGGAGCCATTGAATTCCGGGTGCTGATGGTACTTGCAGGTGGAGCTATGGGTCTGGGGCTCACACTGGAGATATGGAGCTAGCAGTCATCTGCATGCAGGGGATATTAGGGGATGAATGAGGTCCCCAAGGGACAGGAGAAAGAAAGAAGAGAAGAAAACCAAGGGTGGACTCTTGAGGGTCCTGAACATGAAGGGGTAGAGAAAGAGTAGTTAGGGAGGTAGGAGGAAAATCAAGACCTTGGGGCATCTCTCCTGCCAAGGGAAGGGAGAGTATCCAGGAGAAGGAGACTGGCCAGCAGAGTCAAAAGCTACAGAGAGGTCAAAGAGGATGGATAGATGGATGGATGGATGGATGGATGGATGTATGGATGAATGGATAGGTGGATGGATGGGTGGGTGGATGGATGGATGGATGGGTGGGTGGAT